GCTGAACGTGTAGAGATGCTCGATGTTAGTTGTTAGCTCCCAGCATGTTCGGGTTCGAATGCCGTCAGAGGCAACAAAAATATAACAACAATGTTATTGTTAATATGTTGGAGTAGTTTTGTGCTACTCTGATGTAATACAGGGATGGAGTATATGGTCCTGCCCTAGGACATCGCAATGTTAATTGGATCATATTTTTTATATGAATTGTGGTTAATTTTGGAGTACTCCCAGGTCCTTAGGGAGTACTCTTTACACGCATGCATGGAGTAGTCGCGATTTTTGCAGGGGATGCAAAGAAATAAAAAGGGTCAGAAAATACCTTTCCACTGATACCTCATAAGTCTATATCGGTAAAGTTTTAGAGCAGTTATTCAAGTTTTTCTTACACAAATCTTTGAAACAAGTTAAAAAAACAGCATTAAAAATCTCATTATATGATTCGGTTGATAAAAAATTTTAACATTTTTATGTAGATTTTTTAAGCTTACACCGTTTTGTCATCTGAAGGAATTTTTTCCAAAAAATCCTTTAAGAAACTATTTTTATAAAAAACATCATTTTTAGAGGTATTTTCAAAAACGTCCAGCTCACGTAAATCTCAATATTTTTCCGAAATATTTTGGTAGAAGTCTTAGAATACACTGGACTTTGTAATCCCGCCGAAAAAACCGCAACTTTTATTGGGGATGCAGTCTAATGTGCATAAGTATGTATGCACTAGGGCTGGGACTATCCGTGTTCGGATATCCGGATACTCGTGTGGGGATGAAACCCGGATATCTGTTCTATCCGTTTATAACTGGATATCCAGTTAAAAATCGTTAGTTTCGCTATCCGGATACCCGGTTAATATCCGTTAATTTTGTTATCCGTATTTTTCAATCAGATAATCGGGATATTCAAAAAATCCTAATAGAACTAATATGTGCATATACACTCCGTTGCATAATTATAAATCTAGTACAAAAGTATTTGAAACAGCCGTCGCAATCAAGATAGGTAAAAACTTTATTCTATGACTTTTGCATGGTAAGAACTCTTTTAAAAAATAGTGGTTAATTTTTTAATAATCATAACCTTATTTAAAAGAACTAAAAAAATCTAAAAATTACTTGTTGCAAAACTATAAATCCAAAAAAAAGTTATCCTAACAAAATGAGTAAAACATGCAAATATGTCCTTTTAATACTTTATTTGTGCTCCATTGACTTTAATTAACTCAAATATGGGCTTCCTTATACTTAGACATCATGAGCCAATTAGAGCAGATCTGACCGGTTGACAAGCAGCCATTTGCAATAGCAATTGAGAAAAAAGTACGTAATTTTGAAGTTTGATGACTACAGGCGTGATCACCATTTCGGAATTTTTCGTTTTTAAAACACCTATGGTGACCACAAACAAACGAAGCATCTACTTTGTTTCTGATGCGCTGATTACTCTAGCGATGCGTTTCGATAACTTTTCGGATGCGTGTTGGAAAAGTGTACATTGTGAACCAATTGTAGTTCGGTGTTATTGAACATTAAACTTTGTACGTATGCAATTCATTTGACGTTTTGGAATTCAGCCCCTATCTCTTCTTATTCTGGTACTTACAAGCATCGGACCAAAGTTATAATACCATTTCAAGCTCATGGAATATATAATTATCAGATTTCAAATCGATGAAGAAGGTGACCAAATAAAAATTTAAACATTTTCTTAACTTCTTCCCAGCGAATCTATATATCTGTGGACATTTTACAAAACAACTTAAGTCTGTCTTTGACGGACAATCTAAATAGCATATGTTGGCGAAGCTCTTTTTACCGTCAGATCAATACATTTTATTTAAAAGAAATCATTCAGTTGTTGAAAATGGACACATTAAAAAGGTTGTGTATAGCGATAAAATAATTAAATATTTCTTTCCAATTGTAAAATTTTTCTCTTTGACGGTAAAATATGTTTTGTCGACATATGCTATTTGGTTTTTCCATGAAAGACAGACTTAAGTTGTTTTGTCAAAAGATATAATTGCTCAGTCATACGACTTATGTAGTTAGGGCGATCTGTAGCAGCCACAGAATTGGGCTACATATAAAATTAAAGTGCAAGCTGCAGTTGCTGTTGACCGTGTTTGCCACAAAAGTAAAAAGTGGCAGAAAAGTCGATAGTGAGTAATATAATCTATTGAAAATTATTAACCATTTCTCCGTGGAATTGAGATTTCGAAAAGGTGTTAGGTATAGTTTTGAAATACATATTTTGACAAAAGCAAGAAATAAAAATAGTTGAGACTACTTTCTTTTTTAATTTTAACACAAAATTTACTTTGTTATTTTAAATAAATGTGGTTATAGTTTTTATAAATAAAACTATAATTTATTATGAGTTAACCCCCAACTTCAATATTATTTAAAAAATAAGGTAGGATTAAGTATATTTTAGCTCACAGGTTATCTTTTAAGTCACACACGCCTTTAAGACGTATGTTAAGGCTTTACGTAACTCCCAAATAGATTAAGCTTCTAGGGTTAAGAAAGCTTTAGTTTAAAAGTGTGATAGTAAATGCCTTTCACCATAAACGGCGCCAATTTTCAGTGATTATTGCGTTTCATATTACGACTAATAAAGCCCTTGGACAGATACTCTGAAAGGTTGGACTATACCTTAATACGAAGCTTTGAATGAGTAAGGCCTTCTAAGAACTTAAAAAATTTCTTGGTTTATCAGGTCTCTAGCAATACAAGATAAATTTTTGTCTTTCACGAAGTTCTTTAAATAAATTTTGAGCTAAATACTCGACCGAATTTAGGAGGTTACTATTACTTTTAATAAATTAGTTTAATTTCTTATAAAATTTACCTTAATGTTTATGCATGTTAAGGATACATCGAAAATTTGTTTTAGAGAATCAATGTGAAATAATTGCAGAAACGATTAATCGGTTTGCTGAGCAACCGAGACGGCTGCTTTTTTAAATAAGTTTTGTAAAACAAATAGGCAAGTACATATCGTCCCCCACATGCCAGAAACATGAACGTGTAAAGATGAAAATTTTGGGATAGTAGGGCCGGCCCACGGCGAGGAAGACTTCAATATTACCCAACTACTTTCTGGGTATGGCTGCTTCAGATCCTACTTGCAGCGCTTTATCCACGAGGACTTCGGCCATTGCGAGATTTGTGGTCCCAACTTCCCCGATGACGGGGAGCATGTACTGTTTAGCTGTCCAGGTTTCAATGCAGAGAGAGAAGTTTTACGCGAAGCATTCGGCGAACGCCCCACAGTACAGAACTTAGTGCCAAAAATGATGGAAACCTCAACTAACTGGGGAGCAGTTAGCACTGTCGCAGCAGCAATAATCGCTAAAATGAGGAACAGGTTGAGATCGGTTAGACGTAGAGAAAAAACCATTGTGGCATCCACCCATAGCTGAAGCATCCTGCTATCGAAAAAGCGTCGAGACGTACAAAGACCCCGAACACCAATACGTACGCACGACCCTGACTCTTGACTCTAATGTGCGGGGGCGGGCCGTACAGTCTGCACAAAAGGGTTGTGAGAGCAGGGTGGCTTACGACGAACTGCGCTAAGACAGGAACGTACGATACAGCTTAGTGCTCAAAACCTCCTCTCGACGAAATACCAAACAGTAGTACCGTATACCCCATACGGTACAGCGGACAAACAAGTAGTTTTAGTTCGGATTCAAGTTCCACTCTACGGTGGTTAAGCTTTCGATGCGTTCTGCTTGTATAAAAAAAACAGCATCCAGTTTATGCCACTCTTGCAAAATCGCCAAATTAAGCCATATAACGTTTTGAAATTGGCGATTATCAGCATAAACTTACTTCTCCAGTATTCCCCACACATTTTCCATTTGATTGAGGTCACGAGAGCACAAGGGTCCGAATACTGTTGGTTTCTAAGCTGCATTTTGCCTCCCTGCTGGTATGAATTGCAGCATTGTCGTCTTGAAAAATGCAATTTCTTTCATTGCACTTAATAAATGATTTTAGACTGGTCAGAAAGGGAATATAGTCTAAACTATTCATTTTATTTGAGCATGACTGCAACTCAAGAGCACAATCTGATATTATTGCGCCCTACACAATCACATTTCCGCGACCGAAGTTCCACCGGTAAAAAATGCGTCGTTCTTTCCGTGAATATTTTAGTATCCATTCAATACATTTTTACCATCAAGATTGAGTTTTTTTTTCGTCTGAAAATATAACCGAAGCCAACTTTATAATAGTGAATTTATGCTAAAATAACCATTTTAACAATTTGGAGAATTCCAGTAAATTGCCATGTGTTTCCCAGCGAAATCCTTTCGAGGAGCTTTACGATGTAGAAAAAGACGCGGAGCCGTGATACTCGGTACTCGAGGTGCTTGGAACGTTTTAAGGCCCTCCAAATAGTTTGACGACCAATGGGATCTGAACATTTTGCTGTTAAATTCTGGCAAATTATGATGGAAACCAACAATATTCGGACCCTTGTATTCTCGTGACCTCAATCCAATAGAAAATGTGTGGACAATACTGGCAAAGAAAGTTTATGCTGATAATTGCCAATTTGAAAACGTTATATGGCTTAAATTGGCGATTTTGCAAGAGTGACATAGACTGGATGCTGCTTTACCGAAAACATTATGGCTAAGTATTAGGAAGCCCATATTTCAGTTAATTAAGGTCGATGGAGCACAGTATTAGAAGGACATATTTGCATGTTTTATTAATTTTATAGGTATTTCTTTTTTTGGATTTATAGTTTTGCAACAAGTAATTTTTCGATTTTTTTAGTTCTTTTAAATAAGGCTGTGATTATTAAAAAATTAACCACTCTATTTTAAGACAGCTCTTACCATGCAACGGTCGTAGGAGGAAGTTGTTACCTATCTTGGTTGTGACGTCTGTTTCAAAGACTTTTGTACTGGATTTATAATTATGCAACGGAGCGTATGTATACAAATATGCATATTCTTCACAAAATATCGAATTCACCTTAAACTCGTCGAATGAAGCATATTCAGTGATATGTTCACTTGCGCGCGTAACTGTGGCCGCTATAATAGAAACTACAGCCCAAATATGGTGCACGATCATTTCAGCAAGAACTATATATTGGCACTGTTTTTCGACTGACCTGGCGTAAAACTCAATCGTGATTTCAGTTATGTGCAGTGTTGCCGGAAATAAATATCCTTTTAGTGCCAGAATCTCTAGAAAACAGGGCTAAATAAAAAAATTTAGAGCTAAGAAAAGAGCTAGTTTCATAATTCATCGACTAAACATTTTTTTTTTATTTTAGAACGAATTTCCAAAAACGTTTTCGGAATAGTACTTTTTGAGTTCCAAGCGTATAAATTCGAAAATAAGGAACTTTTCAAGCTTTTTTCGAAAATTGTAAAAAAAACTTTGTAAACAAAAATTATAAAAAAAGCAAGGACGGTGGACAATTTTATGACGAAAATGTGAAGCAAACCAATGGTTAAATTGGAGAGAAACTGTTAAAGTTTTGACAGCAAAGTTTCATTGTAATTTTCTTTCTATGAATTCATAATCAAATTCCAATTCAAAAAATGTATGCAATAAATTAAAACTTTGGGTATCTTCACATCCATTTCGGTACTTTTGGTGAACGCTTCCTTTTGTTAGTCTGAAACACAGCAATTTACTTAAAAAAAGGTAAAATAATTATTATCTTTTAATATTTTCTCTTAGTTTGTACTTATTTATTTTATTTATTTAGATTTAGGTATGCTTAGCATTCACAGAGGTTTTGTAGAGAAAACAAAAATTAAATCATCACTACAACAATTTATCGATTTGCAGAATACACTCGAAGACTATTGTTTAAATAAACAAGAGTTTTTTAAACAAAAAACAAAACCGATTTCAATTTTCATGTAAAACTTTAAGATTTCCTTTAATTTCTTCATGATCCAATAATCGGATCTAAACCAAATTAGGATGGGACCATCTCTGAGGTGCCATCTTTTCTTTAAAAAAAATAATTATTGAATCCGGCTATGCGGTAACATATGTACATAAAAAAATATTTCGACGAATAGATAGCCTCCTTCTTTTTTTGAAGTCGCCTAAAAATAATGAAAAGATTGCGATTTTGGTGTAAAGTCGCATTTTAAAATTTGCATGCAATTAAGGTAACTAACAAATTTGTATTTTAACTCTTCAATAAGTTCATAATAATCTTTATGCAATATAAATTCCTTTGTAGGGCTCGGTACAACTCAATTGTTACAATAACAAATAATTTTTAAGCAAAAAACTCAACCAACTTCAATTCTCATATACAAATTTAGAAGTACCGTTAATTTCTTCATAATCCAATAATCGGATCTAAACCAAATTAGTATGGGACCTCCTCTGAGGCACCAGAAAAAGAATTATCGAAATCGGTTAATGCGGTTCAAAGTTATTCGGTAACATACATAAAACAAATATTCCGATGAATTGATAACCTCTTCTTTTTTTGAAGTCGGTTAAAAAGAGAAAAATTAATGAGGTAAATTATTATACATTTTTAAAGCTATATTTTAACATTTCTAATAAAATTTACATCAAAAAAAATCTTAACCCCTCCCCCCATAAATTATGATCTGCGTACGCCCATGGAGCTAGGGGCTAAAAGCGGATTTCTGGGGCAATTAAAAATAAAAAAGCTAAATATAGCCCCAAAATCACCAAAATGGCAACACTGGTTATGTGCAGAAGATATATTTCCATACATGGATATGTTTGTACACACCTTGTGTAGAAACGCACTAGTGCCGAACTGGTTCGGTACTAGAGAGTTTAGAGCCATGAGTAGTATATGTTAGTTCTCTTTTGCATGCTGGCAACTGGCGAATTTAACATTGCGATGTTCTACGGTTCGTTAGTTTCGAAGCAGTCTTAAATCCGACAGACGTAAACAGTAACATGAAAAATAAAATAAATATACTATTACGTAAATATAAAAACTTATACGATGTTTCCACGATTCGTAATTCGCTCTATACGTAATTCGCTAAGTAATTCGTGAATTACCCTGTTTCCACGACACACATTAGTAATTCGTTTGGCAGATCTAGTTCTTGTTCTTGTTCTTCGCTATTTATTATTATTTTTGTGTACTGCAAATATCGAAGATAGAGCTAAAATTTAAGTTATAATTAACAATTTTAATTTATATATAGATTATTTCATTAATATTATTCTATAACTAGAAAAAGTGCCAGCAAGTGGGACCAGGCTGGTGAAAACTTCGATATAGTTCCGATAAATATTAGAGAAGGCACCGATTCGTTCGTCAATCGCATGGTAATTCGATCTGAATTACCTACAAATGAGGTAATCCGCTCTCAAAATTTGATATGGCGAATTACGTAATTCGGAAGGTAATTGGCAAGGCGAATGACGAATGGGAGAGCGAATTACGAATCGTGGAAACGCCGTATTATTTAGCTAATCTGAAATTACTCCACTCGGGGGAATGGGGGAGCACAGGAGTGCTCTTTTATGACTCATTTAGAAGGTTTACGGGATTGCTTATGTGGGAATAATCCCTTATTACCTTTTGAGAGGAATGCGGCCTCCCTCTTTGCTTCCTTGTAATGTTTGTGGATGATATTTCAGTTTGTTCTCCCTCATTTCTCTTTTGGGAGTTAAACGTGTTAAAAGGAGTATACAAAATATCACACTTATACGGGTGACCAACAGGCTCGATTATCTGCATAAACAGCCTTTATTTGCATGAACTCATACATTTTCCTCTTTCAAATGCGCATAAGCAGCCGGACAAATGCACGAAATTTCTGCCAGGGCAAAATTATTATGCGCATTTGTGTGCTAGTTAATCTAATCTACATAAGCATGCCCGTCTGTCTAGCGTTTTATACACAAAAGCATAGGGAGTAATCGTAAACTCGCAAGACAGTACTCACTGAGCAGTCGAACGATGATCCCAAGTTTTACTGAGTAGTGCTATACATCATATACATTTACTGATATATATATATATATATGTATATATATATAGGAATAAAAATGCGCTAACATATGTATGTATGATAATATGTACATATGTATATGGATGTTATTGTCGTTTGTGTTTGCCTTCCCCCCACAAAAAATTTCTTCGCAACGTCGTTGTGTGGGTTACACAGAGAAATTCGCTGACTTCTAAAAAATTTAAAATGGCTAGCAAATAAAAATGTATCTTATCTTATATGCCTATGAATGCCTCAACTGCCAAATCGGTTAACTCCACTTTTTGAAAAATCTTAAATTTTAGTATCAAAGCACTTGATATACAGTATATTTTGCTTTGCTGCCTTTGTGCTTAAGTGCACATTTAAGATACCTACCCCAAAATGCTTTTATTTATTTTGCTCATCTCGTAGATCAACGAAAACGGCTATCATTTTATGTAGTTATACAGATAATCAGACACATCCCGCTTGCAGTAATTTCTACGTGGTAAGTGCTCCTCCATTATTTGGTTTTATACCTTCCTCATTAAAGTAGTAAAGAAAATTCGCTTAAGTGCTTTTTTTCGGTTAAGCGCACAAGTTTCTCTTGCAAAGAAGGATGTGCAGCTAAGCAAAATATACTGTAGTCATAACCAAGGAACGAGTTTTATGGAAATTGCCTTTTTTTCTGCTAAAGAAATAGAGTATATTCAATTAAGAATTCCCGCGATTTAGTTTTCCCTGATTCCATATATACACATTTGATGTTGCCTTTGTTGCCTTTTTTAAGATATTTGCCTTTTATACTTTTAATTGTAAAGGGCAATATGATAATATGAAAGTTTTAAATATGCTGTATGTATTTAAATAGGGCGCCACTCACTTCGAGCGCACGTTTAGTACATTCAAGTCTTTTCTTCGCGAGAATCGAATGAAAATCCTTTTAAAATGCATTCTGTGATTCAATGTTACTACAACTATTGAGATTAAAGTTTTGTGAGTTCAAAACTCGAAAGGATAAAACAGTCAAAGATTCAAAGTAAATAATTTTCATATAATGAAACAAATGAAATACAAATTTCTAAAATAAATGTATTTTTTGATTATTTTTCGGTTTTTGTCTCTTTTTAGTGCCCCATTTTGCCTTTTTTACGGTCTCTAGCACCTTTTCCTGTCCTAAAACTTCATTCCCTGGTCATAACTTATATCTTAATATATAAAAATCCCGTGTCACAGTGTTCGTTTACGCTAATCTCCGAAACCGCTTAACCGATTTCAATGAATTTTTGTGGATGCGTATTGTTGGTTCCAACTTACAAGATAGGATAGTGTTGAACCTAAGAAAAAATACATTTTTTCATCGAAATTTTTTCTATGCTTCTCGCATCATGCTTATCTTAATATATACAAATCCCGTGTCACTGTGTTCGTTTACGCTAATCTCCGAAACCGCTTAACCGATTTCAATGAAATTTTGTGGGTGTGTGGCCTTTTTGTTGTACGAAAAATTTGAAATGCATGAATCCAAAAGTTTCCGCACAGAATAATGTGAGGTTGGGGATATAAATAAATACGTAATTAGTTTAAAAGCCTTCAGGTGATACCTAGAGGTTCCGGGTTGAGCTTTTTCGATCAAAAATGTCGAAATTACACCAATTTCTTTTATTTTGCATTTCTTTTTTATAAGTATATATTAGAAAAATTATACATTATCATATATGTAATACTTCTATCTTGCTAGTACAATATGATCACAATGTGTTTTCAATTCGAAATCAAAGAAAGACAGCCTATGAAAATTTTTTTGATTGTAGAAGTATACGTGTATATTTGTAAACTACTACATAGAATGAATTGGCATATCATAACAGGGGGGATCAGAGAATTTAACAAACAAATAAAAATTTTACGGCCTCATGTTTCCTTCAAACCGCAGTTAACGCAAACGAATTTTGTTCAAAATTATATTTTGATGCATAAACGCTCTTAGACTGTCTTTGCACCTGTGCGGAGTTGACTTGACAACTTGAAGAACGCATGGTCGGGCCATAATTCGAAATTTTTTACAGCGAATATGATGTGTATTTACCGGTATCACCGCTAAAAGTGTAAATAAATTCTCGACATACACCCTAAAATCCAAACATACG